CCGTCCCCCTGCAACCCCATGAAACTGTGTAGGAGTGATCCTCTGCCCCCATGTGCTAGGGAGGTTCACACACACACACACACACGCACACACACCCACACACACACACACACACACTCTGACACACACAGACACACACTGACACACACTGACACACCTGACACGCACTGACACGCACTGACTGACACTGTGAACCTGTTGCTGTTTGCTGTTTGTGCATCCTCCCCCAGTTCCTACAGCCTCGGCTTCGCAAGGTTTAAGGCCCCGGAACCAGCCTTGGAAGCCAAACTCGCTTCTTTTACCAAGCCCGGCGCTTTGTCCAAACGCTCAGAGTTCTGGTATTTTCTGGTCCCCTTGCACAGGTTGGCCTGGTTAGGTGCATGGGGCGGTCACACAGCGCAACAGGTAGCACGCAGTGCCAGTTTGACCAGGCCCTTTTGTGCCAGGTGCAGTTGTTTCAGGTATCGTCAGCAGCTGGACAGTACTTTTGCCAGCAGCATGGCCGGCTCGGCTTCTGCTCGCCTTACAACTACAGAGAGAGACCGCAGACGCAAGGAAGTGGAAAAAAAATACCCTTCGCATGTATTTTCTGCAGCCGCCCTGCCCTCCATGGGCTTCTTGCAAGCAGTGCATACTCAGTGTTCCGGCAAACAGTGGGGCTAAGCAGGCTCAGCGCTCGCAAGACGACCTGCTGCAGGTAGTCGCTAGTTTTTTTGGTGTCCTGCGTGAAGAGCGGGATACAGAGGTCATTGGTTTTGCTTACCGCGTCCAGTGAAATCTTGAGACCCGCAGCAACGCGTTTGCAGTGTGTGGTGCGTGCCACGTGGGTTCGTGGCAATCTTATGTGAAGTGCTTCATGTCCTAGTATACCAAGAAGCCCTGTGATGCCATGCGCATCCCGTCGGGGCAGGAAGCCGAGGAGGCCGACCGTGCTGCGCTTGGTGAGATCTTTGAGCTTTGTTTTTCGGGCTCCAGTCTAGACGATGCCATCCATGGCGTCTCAGTCGAGCGGGACATGTTGCGACACCTCTTGCTGCCGATGCCGAAGACCGCCAAGCCAGACAAGCCTCGCCGCGATGACCCACCGCAAGGAGTGCTGCCGCCTCCAAATTGTCTACGTGGTGAACTTCCTCGGAAACGCGCGGCTGGTCGGACCAGCGCTGTTGACACCTTCAAGAAGCCCCGTACTGGCGAGTGCGAGGATAAGACTTGCAAGTGGAAGCACCGCTGTGTCAAGTGCATTGGTTTGTTGATAACACGTGTCATTTCGGTGCATCTTGGGCTGGATGTTGGTGGGCACCCGCTGCTGGTGCCTCTGTGAGATGCACGCACGTGCTGTTACACCTCCTTGCTTTCTTCCCGCCCTCGTTGGCCCCTTTAAATGCCTGCCTCTGTGTGATGCTTGCCACGGCCATGGGAATGCCGCTGTCCTGGCATAAGCTTCAGTTGAATAATTCACTCAAGTGGATCAGCTAAACATTCGGTTAGTGCCGCGGCCTGTCGCCACTTTGCCGCTGGACAAGCGTGATGCTCTGCTGAATGCGCGCCCGCTCTGTGCAGTCGGGGCGAGGATTAATCGTCGCGACCTCCGGAAGCTGATCGGGAGATTGTCCTGGTTCAGGGGTGGGGTTCGCTGGCTGAAGCCTTGGCAAAGTGTTTGGTTTCATGCCTTGGCTAAGTCCAAGATGCGTCTGCAATGTCTAGAGTGTAGGTCCCCAGATCGAAGAGCTCGTGGACATGTTAGACGGCAGACTCGTGACACTGTCTCGTTGCCGAATGTCTGATGTTCAGGTAGGGTGGCGCGTGGCCGAGGGTTCGAATCATGTTGTGCAGAGTGCCCAGGATTGGCTGTCAGCTACGCCCCGCAATGCATGTGCATGGATCAAGTTTCTGGATTCGTCCCCGGACGGTGACATTGCAATGAGCTCTTCAGAGCGCATATCGCACAGTGACACCATTTCCGCCGGCGTACCTGTCCAGCTTGCCACGTGCTGCGGATCCCTCCCGGCCTCCCATTGCATCCGCAGCACATTCGTTATTTCTCGATCAGCCTCCAGTCTGGCGACCTGCCAGCATGGTTCCTAAAGCATGCGCCAGGAGCTAAGCGAAATTTACAGCTTGCCATTGCGGCAGTGGAAGCGTTAGCTCACTTGGTGTTGCTTGCTTGCCGCTGCGCTGCATTGCCACGGTCATGCGACCTGGGCTGGATTAGCGCCCGCCAAGAGTGTGACAATCTTGGCGTGGTTGGGGCGACGGCAAAGGGGCTGACGTTGAAAGATGTTGAAAGAGCCTCTGGCCACGGTGAACGGTGTTGCAGTCAGCAGCGTTGTATTGCGCGCGCCAACAAATGGACCTGCACATCACTCACATTGCATTGCTGGTATACGTAACGCATGTCGGAATGGCCCGGACTTTTTCAGCCAGTCATATTCATTTGTCGCCAAAACTCTGACCATGTGCACAGTGTCTTGAGCTCCCCCTTGGTGTCGTGTCGATACTGCTTTGATGGCCCCTTGCAAAGGTTGGCTTGGTTAGGTGCACGGGGCGATCACACAGCACAACAGGTAGCACGCATTTTGTCATTGTGTCATGTGCCAGTTTGACCAGGCCCTTCTGCACCGTCAGCAGCTGGACAGTGCTTCTGCCCGCACCCGCCCGGCCCGCTCCAAGTAGAAAGGGAGCATTTCAGGTGCTGCGTGCGCACGAATATTCCTTGCTATTGCCCCCCAAGTGCCAGATATTTCGTCGGAATGACCCGGACTTTTTCAGCCAGTCATATTCATTTGTCGCCAAAACTCTGACCATGTGCACAGTGTCTTGAGCGCTTCCTTGGTGTCACGTCGATACTGCTTGAGATGTGTGATCGGCCCCCGAAGCCGAGGCCAAGGCTTGTAATGACTGGTGGTATTCTAATGGTTAGAAGGCTAGAAAGTAGAAGCCATCATACTGGTTGTTTTTTTGCCCCAAACCCCAAACGGCCCACGTGCGCCCCAAAAGTTTATCGATGGCTTTGGACCGATTCTATGCATAGAAGTTCGCGTTGTGGCAGTGTTTTTTTGCTGTCTTTGCTGCTGGAGCCACCAATATGATCCATTCCGAGAAAGGAAAGCTCATACTGAAAAGGCTTGTGCTTTGAACCCTATCCCTATCTTCTACCTCCGAGGTCGGTTTGGTTTCTCGCTTCGCCGCATCCTTAGGATGGTGGGAACCCTGCAATAGCCCAAAACTGATCCATTTTACAATAAGAGATCCTTCAAGAAATGCTTTTCCACGCACTTGGATTTTCTAGGTTTATAGTCAGTGAACAGCCACAAGAGTTGTTTGCATCACCACCAGCGCGTTAAGCTGGTTATTTTTAAGAAACACATCTTTGGGAAGGCCTTTACCAGGACCCCCCTGAATCTTTAGGCTTCTGGTCATCCCAGCAGCCCAATATGGTAGCTTGTGCAACAAGGGCTCGTTTGGGTGGCTGCAGCAAGAGTCTAGTGCTTCTGTTGAGCCCAAGCCCAATAATGTTGTTTGTTGTCAGGCATCGGGTGATCCTGGTTCCGCATTGGTATGGCCGCAAAGGGTACCAAAAGTAACAGCAGGCACGGGAATGGTGTGACGGGGCCAGACGAGTGCGGAAAGCACTCAAGACTTGCAGATTCGGGTTGTTAAAGCATGTTAAGGCCGCAACTGTGGTTTAGGAATCCTGCTACCACGTGACCCACACACGCATTGAGCCGGAATCCATTCACGTTTAATTACATGGAGGATTGCAACTAGCATCAATCCGAACCAACTCCGCCACAAACACGGGCAGAATCGATTCAAGCCATAACCACCCACGCCAACAGGTGGAATAGGATGCCCGAAACCCACCTACGGGGTCTCTAAAGAAGGGTTTCTCGTAACCCACTAGTCAGTTTCGGTTCAGGGCTGATAAGAGGTTGTAAACATAGGTTGTTTCGCCCCATATTGATTGAAAGGGATCCCAACAATTAGCGAAAGTTCAGAAAAGTCAATTGTTTGAAACATCGCCATGAGGGCTTTCAGGGTGCAGGGCTTCAGGGGTTTAGGATTTCGCAGGTTTAAGACAGTTCGGTGTATTGGGTAAATTCCGATGTGCGTGCTTAACGGCGTCATTCCTGACATGTGAATCTCCTGAATCCACCGCATCAATGCGCGAATCGGCCTTTGTGCCTCTGTTGTTTACGGAGCTCCGTCTTGGGGCAAGCGAGACACGCCGCAGGACTTGCCGGACTGGATCAAAGCGGGGGGCTCAGTCTCATGCAGCAGAGTTGGCTACAGCCGAGATCCCGCAAGTATCAGTCTCGTGAATTGCACTTCCGATTTCCAACGAGGTCAATGAACGTGCAAGGCAGCGGTGGTTCGGCTGTGTTGTGAGGATCTAGCTGCTTGGCCTATGTGTGCAGGTGGTGGTCCAACTCGCAGAAGCAGTTCTGCGATGTCACGATCACTGTAGTGGACGTGTCGGCCAGGCAAGTCACGGCAACTCAGCCGCATGTTCGCTGCCCTGCGAGAGAGCTGCATTGTAGTGTTTTGCGATGACTTTCAGCTTGGAGTTGGGTTGACACCTTGGGGAATTCGTGATTTTTGCTGCAGCGCACCTCCTGTTCTCCTTTGCCCGACGGCTCAGAGGCTTGTTCAGTGCTTGTGTTGATTAAGGTCACCTTCGTGCAGGCAAGTGTCCCAACCGCGTTTGCCACCCACATTCACTTGGCACAATTTCCGAGCGCTTTTTCCTGGTTGCGTGACTCTCTGACTTTCTCTTTCCCGGCTTGCAGGATGCCAGCTGTTGGAAGATGGTCTCATTCGAGCATTTCCTCCAAAAGCAGGCTCATAGTAGGTGAAGTTTAGCTGGTATGGTGTTCCTGCGGAGCTATTGCAGGAGGACTGGCTGCTCCAGCCATTCCAACAGAAGGCACGCCCATTCTGTGCGGAGTCACATAGCTTATGCTACATTCACGAGAAAGCGTTTCGGCTAGGCAAAGGAGCTGATTCAGCAGCTGCCCGATTGGGTGAAGCCTGGCAACCAGGCCAGCCTGCTTGTCGTTTGTCTTCAAGGGTGTACTTTCTCAGCACGCATGCAGTCACTTTCAAAGCCGAGGGCTACTGGTGGTCGTCGAGCCAACACAGAGTCTTGCCGGTTCAGATCAAAGACGTCTGCTCCAGGACACGCCAGGCCGGAGCCAAGAACTGTGTGGTTTCCGCAGATGACATCTGGCCACTGCCGTTTCTTCGCACAGGTGAAAGTGGTTTTCAATTGCAACAAAACGGCAGCTCGGAAGACGGATAAGAATGCTCCAGATGTCTGGTATGACGGTAAGTGAAGAATCACGGCGAGCCGAGGTGAAAAAGCTTGTGCAATTCCATGCCGCTTGCCTTGACATCTATGCGGCAGGGGAAGCGAAGCATCTCAACTCGGGAGTCCTGCTGTCCAGGAGCTGATTGATTCTCCAAAGGAATGTCTGCTCCCCGTTCTTGACTTCAAGTACAGCATGTGTGCGGTTGCTGTTGTGCTCAGGCCTCCTCCAGAAGGAGAGGGCAGGACATACCTGGAGGAAGCCCCGACGAAAGTCGAGAGACTCCAAAGGCTCCAAAGAGTCGGCTGAGGCACTCCTTTTCACCCTTTTGCCATCAGAATGCCATCATGGGCAAAGTGAGAGCTTCAATTAGGCTCAGATGCAATGCGAGGCCGGAAGCCAAACTGAAGTTCCTGAAGATCTCAGTCTGGACCAAAGTGCTGTGGACAGCTGCGTGCATGATGCGTGCAGCCAGAGGCGGAGCACGCCGCGTCATCCCCTTGTCATGCAAGTGGCCCGGCAAGGTGGCACCAAAGGATTGGGCGACATCATGGCGGAGATGACACAGGACCAATACTTGAGCTGGGGCCTGATAGGGGTTCAGCACTCGAGGGCTAAGGGCCGACAAATTTCGCTTGTCATGACGCCGCACCTTACCATCTCTACCCTGGCAGCGGGGAGGGGTGATGGGGCCACGGTGAATAGCGTGCATAGCACAGCTATGTGCAATGGCCATCTTGTGTGGAAGGCAGTTGTCGACTGCTGGGCAGGACATTGGGGACATGATGGCCGAAGGAGAAGCTGAGGACATGGCGAACTTCATGTGTTGTGCTTCCGTGGCACAGCTGTCCGCAGAGCGACGAATCTCCAACCACGATGTGTGCAATCCAGGATGGTGGCCTCCGGAAGGCATTGACTTTCATGGGCAGCTCTGAATTCTTACAGGCGGCGAATATGGCACTGCAATGCTTCCGAATTATGTCGCAAGTGTCGCCAAGAAAATATTTAGAGGCCTATATATTGCCACGGAAAGCCGATTCCTCGCATCCGCCGCACAGGTTGACATCAGCTCCAGAGATGATTCAGCTGATCGGGTCCTGCCATGCATCCATGTTACGGTTAGCCTCTGTAGTCACACAAGAGATGCAACTTGAAGTCGTTTGCAGAGCCATACTTTGGAAGCAGGTGCCTGCCTTCGGTTATGGTGATGACGAGCTTGCAGCAACAACCGGATCTGCTGAGGACTCTTTCACCGCGCCCACACAGCAGACGACCCATCAACCTCCATCCCCACCGTCACGGTTTGAGTTAGGTCTTAGCAGCTTGAGATGGAAAGCAATCAGGATTCTGGCGCGAAAAGTGAAGCCCACGCAAAGGCAAGGCATACTCCACTGCACATTAGCCGTCAGCAATCACGGCATTCAGGAAGCGACCGGCGAACTGGTGCAGGCAAGCAAAGACTTTGGCAGAGGATCTAAGACCGAGAGTGAGAGAGACTCTCTGAGGTTGTAGAGAAGACCACGAAGAAGAACGGCATTGATAGTGACTGCAGGGAAAGGAGATCCACGTCTGAAGCCGCCGTCCTCTTGCGCGATCTCGGCCCAGCAGCCCCGGCCCTTCGGCACCCCGCGGATCGCCGCATTTGGCGATTCCGGTTCATCTTCTATCTTAAACACCCCTTCATTTGGCGATCCCGGTTTTGCTAAACCCGTTCTCTCATTTGGCGATTCGGACGGGTGGGAAAAACTTAGCAAATCCGGTTCATCGTATGCCTGAAACGCGATCCCTCATTTTTCGATCCAGGTTCATCACATTTCTTCAACCCGCCTTCTCGTTTGGCGATTCCGATTCATCACATTTGCAGAACCCGCGCCCTCCTTTGGCGATCCCGGTTGAGCATATTTCTTAAACGCACCCCCTCATTTGGCAAAACGCCCCCTCATCTGGCGATCCCGATTGATCACGTTTCTGAAACGCCCCCTCGTTTGGCGATCCCGGTTATCAAGTTTCTTAGAACCCGAGCGCCTTATTTGGCGATCCCGGTTGATCACATATTCGAACGCATGCCCCTGGGGATCGTGGTTGCTCACATTTCTTAAACCCGCCTGCTCGTTAAGCGAACCCGATTTGCGAAACCCGCCCCCTCCTTTGGCGAACCCGGTTGCTCACATATCTTAACCTCAGCCCTGTTCATTTAGCCATCTCGGTTGATCACATGTCTTCAGCGGCAGCGCAGGGCCAAGTGTGCATTTCTGGCGTTATGGATCTTTACCAACCGGCGCCGCGACGTTGGAAAGAATTGAGCATGCCAGACATGTCCAGGCAGCAGTTGCGGAAGTATGTGCGGCATAGAGCACGACATAGATAGATGCCCAGGTTGCGTCGCATGGTGGATGTTACAGTCAAGTCAGCTTCTAAGCACGTACAAAACACAAGCCCCGGAAAACATGCTAGTGCAAAAGGATGTCACGTGATCGGAGCTTGGGGCTTGGAGCACAATATCAGACGGGGGGGGGGCCGAGAAGTGCAAGTCCAGGAATTCAGTGTGCAGCCGCGTGCAAGATAACCCTTAGACCACAGCGCCGCCCGCCGCTGAAGCGGGATCGGCGGATAAACATAACGGGTTGCTCGACACATGTTTTGGGCAAGCTACGGTGCCACTTTTGCCAACCGTTGGACAACTCCGAATCAACACTGCAGGCAGAACTACTTTGAGTCGCAGCGACAGACTTTGGCAGGCTGGCACCGAAGTCGGCGACGCGATTACTCAGGAGGAGACGGAGCAGTCGACGCCGCAGGCCCTGTGCCATGTCGTGCCTTTGACAGGCGGGGTCGCGAGCACCACTAGTTAAAAGAAAAGTTTGCCAGGCAGAGCTTCAGGGGGCGGAGGGAAGCGCCGCCAAAGGCAGCATGGCAAGTCAGTGACCTGAGACTTCGAGCTGAAGCCCTGTCCTGTAGGCAAGTCTGCAATGTTGATGGGGTTCTCTCAATCCGAAGAAAACATGATGGAGATCCTGGAGGCCACCAGCGTGTCAGTCTTGGGCCCAGGGCACGGCCTCTCTCGCTTTCAGGCCACGGTCGAAGAGTCCAAAGGTGTCACACAGGCTTTTGGGGTGCTATGCTTGTTGCAGTTAGATGCATGTAGTATGTGACCGTCGTTGTTTTTCCAGGAACTCCCGGCTCAAGAAGCCGGGGCTTCAGCTTTGTACGACACCTTGGACAAGGATCAGAAGTCGCGGATGGCCATTTGCTTGTCGTGCAGACTGTCGTTCTGGAGGAGCTGCTTGCCGAATTGGCACCACCCTCTTCCGACGAACCTTCTGCAGCAGAAGGTGCTGATGCAGAGGCAGGAACCAGTCAAGGAGCAGTTGGTCTCAAAGTCTCCGTCACTTGAGGATGCCCGCAGAGCGGCGGCTGTCGCTGAATCTAGCGTTGCTCTTAGATGTGACCTGGGGAAGCTCGAACGGCTTTGTTAGCCAGTGCAGCCATTGCCAGTCGCAGATTTGCTGCGGACCTGCAGGCTTGACGCTGGATGCAGAGGCTTTACTGCGGAGTCAGGGACTGGCGACGGACGACCAGGAGTTTGGGCATGTTTAGTTAGGCCTAGTTGCCAGGCGGAAGCTGTCTTGATCCTCGCGACACAGTTGTAAGCTGCAAGTTGCAGGTTCCAAGCCCTCTTGCGACAGGCCAATGCGCAAGGAGGATCTTGCTACTCAAAACAGTTGCCATGTCGCAAGGTCTCGATGTCGATCCCAGCCCATCTCAAGGTTCTGGAGATGCCCAGCAGGCTCCAGTATCTAAGCTGCATTTCAGCTGAAGGACGCTCGAGTTTCAGTGCTTCTATGCTGAAGGCGGAGGCAGCATTTGCTTCTGAATCGCCGGCACCCGCACCGAGTTCTGACGAGGCGAGGTTATGAACGGAGCACCGCCCGGCAGTGCTCTCTGCGAAGAAAGCTGCAGGCTTCTGCAAACGCGGAGCCGACGGCAACACAGCAGGAGCCGGCTTCGCCGAGTTGGGGGACCAAGAGTACCGTGCTTGCGCTATCGTGGCAAAAGCAGCCGTGCCCCAAACTCTTTTGAGCGCTCCGTCAACATAGGTGCAGTCTTCCCGGCGCCTGCGGCTGAAGCTGCAGGCACCGCTGGCAGCCGCTTTTATGCTGGCGCTGTTCTCTTGGATAGTTGCAGCGTCTTCCTGCAGGTGTTGCTTCCGATGCTGCAGTTGCTGATGCGACGGATGCACTCGGGCCTAGCGCAGGACTGAAAAGACTCAATACTGAATCACTTGCATGCAGAATGAACCACTTGCATGCAGAACATAGCGTTTCGGTGAAAGAACATCCTATGCGCAGCGAGTCCAGTGCAGCTTCCGTTCGCAAGTTGGCAATTTGCAGGAGAGTCCGTGGAGCCTCTTCCCGCGGTGAGCATCCACACTTCTTCGGAGCCCTCGGGTCACGCCCTTCCATCTCTTTTGGGCAGTTAGCACTCCTTCCAGAAGCTCCACAGGTGTTCAAAATGTGGTGGACTTGCCGTCGGACCAGGCTACAGGTGGGATCAGCCTGCACACCTGGGTTTTGCCTGGTGACCTCCCGGCCACCGATCATGCCTTTGCCGCAGTCCCTTAGGCGATCCAACTGAAGCCCCGGCGGTCGAAGCCGTGACGGGCATTGCTGGCGAAGTTACGCATTCTTGCTCTGGTGCTGCACCTTCTTGTTCTTCGCGGGGCTTCAAGCAGGCCTTGTCAAGCAGACAGTTTGTTTCACCGCTTTTAAAGGGGGTACATCGCGGGTAGCTTGCCCAATAGTGTTTAGCTGGAACGTCCCGAAACGATGGACAGAAAACGCGACAGGTGAAGTGCCGGCTCTGCCACCACATGCGGATCCTGTCCAGGGTCTCTTTCTGAAACTTGTATGTCTGACTCTGACACATGTATACACATGTGGCAGATGGCAGAGTCAGCAGCGATTGTTTTCCCTGCTTGAGGCGAGGCAGCCGTAGATCCGCCCAGTGCGGAAGGGGCTGCCGCAAGTCCTGAGCCGCAAGGCTTCCTGAGATTGGAAAAAAGCGAAACACGTGTGGCTGTAGGGGTCAGGCTGCGGCCATGCGGCACAGGTGTAGCAACGCCCAGTCCACCTAGCCCACAAGGCCTTCTCGAAGAAGGCTGTCGGCAGTGTGTTCAGGCCTGAGGTTTCATGAACGCCTTGTTCTGGTAGGCTCGCACAAAACGGTCGTCTTCGCGAATGATGCCGGGCCTGGAGGGTCTGAAGGCGGGGCAGAAATGGCAGTCTTCAGTTTGCCTAAGCCAGAAGAGCGGCGAGGGATTGTCGCGGCAGGTGCTGGGGCAGATGAGCAACTTCCAGTCCCAGGCAAGGTTGAAAATATTGAAGATTTGAGGTCGTCCGAGTGGGTTTGTTTTTGAACTGGCAGACTCAGGACAACCTCCAGACTCGCCGGTTCGGCAGCTTGAATCGTCGGATGTTCATCTCGCGACAGGTGCTCTTCTGTTGCTGTGCCAGTTTGATCCAGTTTGTGGAAGGTTGAAAGTTCGAATGCGCGGTTACGTGCGGAGGGGTAGCGCTGTCGCCCCTTTTGTCTGTGTGGAAGAAGAGAGCGTACTGGTGATGCCGCTGTTGAAATGAAAGATTGATGTGTGCAGGTACGTCCCCTATTGTACTCTATATGTTCTCAGCCTACAGAACCTCCTTACATCCCTTTGCTTCACGTCCCTCCAATGGCCAGGGGGTTGCGTGCAGTTCTGACAACAGACAACCACAGAAATCTGGCACTGAGCGGCCCGGTGCTTCCTGCTGGTCGGTTGAGCCTTTTCTTATGCTTGAGGTACCCGTGGTCGTGACTGAGTTTGTTTGTTCTCGGTGGTCGTGAGGTGTTCGTATCTCCCTCCAACCCACCAGTGAGGACCATTCTTGGCTGCCGCTGGTAAACCCAGGGAGTGCCCACAACTAGATGGCTCCTTCCCTCTTTACATCTCGGTGCCTCGCAGTAGCCACTGCCCCCAATGTAAACATGCCCGGCTAAGTCACAAGTCCAAGGTGCCGAAGAAATTGGTGCCACTCTTAGAGCTGGTTTGGGCGAATCCCGCTCTGCCTGCTGCAGATCTGACCCTGTCATTTTGCTTTGGTGCTCTACTTGGTTGTTCAAGGTCGAGCAGAGGTGACGCAGGAAGCTACTGGCGGAGGGACAACAGAGCCCCCAGCTATGCCGAGCCTGCCTCAACAAGCTTGCACCAGACTGTCTTGGCTTGGCTGGTCTTCAGGCATGCATATGTGTATACATAAAACATATACAGACACACACGCACACACACAC